TTTTGAAGACATTTTCAAACAATTTTTTTTTGCAAGATTTTCTAGCTCATGAATCCTACATTTTACAACGCTTTTTTTTTAAGTTTTAGTTATTGAAAAATTAATCGATACAATTGGGTAAACTTTAAAAAAAGGTAATAGTGGCAAAAATATGTTTCAACGAGCTTAAGTACATACATACACACTATATTACAATCGATAAAAATGTGACATTAAATTTTTATAAAATTTGCTTAAAATGTTGCCGAGAACTGCTTTAGAAACAACATTATAACGGTTTTGATACTGTAGCATATTCAATTTTAGTGTCTTAAGTATGTACAAGTTTAAAGTAGCTAGGAATTCCTTTGTTTTTTTTTTTAATTTCTTGTTGATGCTGTCAGTCATTTTTTCCATACAATGTATGTTCGACGACATAATTATAATGAAAAAATTAACGAAACCTTTTACAAAAAATTGGCAAAATATTTGCGAGTGTATTCAGCCATGAAAAAGAGTCGGCGTAAAACTGTAGTGCCCTCCACTAAAATATCAATCTATTATTATTATTAACTGAAAATGAAGATAGTTGTTGAAATTTTGCCACAACTATTTTTCGGTGGCCGACAACGAAATTTTCATGTAGGATCGAAAGAAAAAAATAGTAGTTTCATTTGAGATAGTCTAATGTAAATTCTTGTAAAGCAAACTTATGGTGATCTTGTTTCTTCCAAAAAATGTTGTCCTGCCCCGGTGCAAAATGTGTTTGATGTTACACTCACCCTTGCAAAAAGGTATGTCTTTGCCTTAATAATAGTATTAGTTGTGTTTTCGTATTCTCCAGCAAAAAATATCCAGTAACTTGTCAGTAGCAAAATTTCGGAGAGTAAGCCAATATTTACTCGCAATGAGAGAAATATGCAAAAAAGTACGAAAATGCAAAACCAGCAAGAAGTTGCAAGTTTTATGAACAGCTAATTAATTTGTTATTTTCCGATGCAATTTTCTAAGAAAAATAGTATTTCAACTCCAAAAGCACCACAAGCAATTCTTTTGGTAATGTGAATTGCATTAAGCATCATGCCATCAGCTGTTTTTCTTACTAGCAAATATGTTGTTACTAGCAAAAATTTATGCAGTAAAAAAAACTTGCGAGTTCAGCTGTCATTTTTACTCTCTCAATCTACCCTCTTTTGCTAGTTTCTTTCAAGTTTTTGCGTACGAAAACGTTATCCAGTAAAAACCAGTAAAATTAGTACTGGCTTTTACTGGATAGTGTGTACGCGAACAGGGCTATTGTCGTTTTAAACAACCATCTGATTTTCAGGGCAACCCTCTCCCCTGACAATGCTCACTGGGCATAGAATGTTGCCTTACAAGAGTGTGACATTTTAAGAAACGAAGACATAATTTTCTCACCCTTTAGCTTTAATTTAGAATCGCACACACGAAAAGAGAAAGGGGCATTCAAAAGGCAACACCATTAAAAAATCATCATTTTGAGGCTCGTAGGTACAAACAGGTTCCAAAAATACTTGCGTAGACGCGCCTGTGTGCGTAGCTCGTGCGAAGCGGCGCATGTCAAACACTAAGCCGACAAGTCAACGCCAAGAACGTTAATATCAACAAAAATGCGAAAATTACTTAAGCTTAAGCCTTAATTAAAATAGAGAAAGAGTAAATAATGAATGAAGAGCCATGTAAGAAAAATGCTTTCGCAAATATTCCTCAAGATAGCGCAAACATTTGGTATTTCCATAAAATTGAATGGCATTCATGCTATGAGGGTTGTGTGAGGGGAAATCTTCATTGAATATGTTTTGTAATGTTTAATTAAATATGTTTTATACATAATTGTTTTAAGTTGGCGACAAACATTTTTTAAAATGTAGGTATACCCGCATACAAACGTACCCTTTGTATGTAAGTGCGAATATCTACGTTTTTTTTCCATCCACACGCCCATCTGTGTGGCTCAATTAATTTTGCACCTTCTTAATTAAGTGTTCCATGTCTTGCATAGCCCCGCTTTTTAAGTACATATGTACATATGTACATCACCTACAACAATACATGTGACAGGTATAATACGGAAATGAATGCGCATGCGCACCATTTGCAAACTGATGCTATCTAACTGGCAATAATTTTGCAAAAAAAAAGGTCAATCTAAATTTAGAACTAGATGCTTTTTTTTTTAAATACATATGTACATATATGTATGTATATACTTGTGAATACATACGAGTATACTTATCTCAATATGTGTAGGTACATTAGGGTGGTCCAAAAATGCATGTGGAAAAGTTAAGTCGGAATTTTTATGCTCTCACCCCCTAGGATTGTTCTATACCGTAAAAAAATATATCCATATTTTTTTACTTTGAAATCAAAAAATATTTAGAGGTCGCTCAAAGCGCCCAAAGTTTTCCATGTCTTTTATATGGGGAAAAAACAACTATTCGTAGAAACGGTATATAATTCTTAAAAATCAATGTTTTTCCATCGGAAAACTCTGTTTATCTGCAGGAGATTCCCAATAATAATACTCAATTGTTAATTTAACCATTTTTTCATCGCAACTATAATTTATAGGTCCGCCAAAAACCCATAAAACCCCCGAAAACTGCAATGGGCGGACCACTAAACAATCGTTCGTATTAAAAAATGGTTGAATAAACAATTGGGTATTATTATTGAAAGTCACTTGAAGAGAACCAGAGTTTTCCGATCGAAAAATATTGATTTTCAAGAATTCTATACCATTTCTACGAAAAGTTGTTTCTTTCCCATATAAAAATACATGAAAAAACTTTGGGCGCTTTGAGCGACCTCTAAATATTTTTTGATTTCAAAATAAAAAAAATAGTGGTATACTTTTTTTCGATATAGAACAATCCTAGGGGGTGCGAGCATTACAATTCCGACTTTACTGTTTTTGTACCACCCCAATGTACATATACATATGTATAGTTCGTTATTGAATCACTGGAATACTCTTACGTGAGAGTAGCTGAGACTTGTTCGTTAAGCAATAAAGGACAATAGAATTCTAGCTGAACTTGTTCACACTAAAGTTGTCAACTTTCTAACTTGGCTATGAACATCAAGCATAACAAAAACAGCCTTCAGAAACTTAATACAGTTGATTTTCTCTATGACGAAGTTGGTGGGGCCGGCTAAACTAGGGATGTCGAAAAAACATCGATGCATCGAAAATATCGATGTTTTTGTTTTGTATAAACTGACATCTCTAGTACATCGAACCGCCAAACATCGCTTTGTCTAAAACTCAAAGAAAGCAAGATACAGTTTTATAACTCATAAAATTTTAATACAATAAAGTGCAAGTTTCAACTGCTTTGATTTTTAATATTTTTTTCTTTCGCTGACTTGCACTTTGTTTTCTGAGCGATAAAAGTGCATATCCAAGAATGTTCTAATATTAAAAATTTCAAAATATTAATGAAAAGTGATTGAATATTTCTAAACTTTGTATGAAGTGTGAGATATTGAGCCGTATGTATAAAAACTAATGCCGAATTTCCACTAGGCATTGAAATGACAAAAAATGCATGCCATTTAAAAAAATGCCATGTGGAAATGAATTTAATGACTATGTTTTTAAAATAATAACACGAATATTTTTTAATGCCCGACTTTGTCATTTGTCATTTTTGCCATTTAACGCCTAGTGAAAATCCAGCATAAGCTTTTTGCTTTTTCTTAAAATTTCATACCTTTCACCTTAATTTATTTGAGCAAATCAAGTAAAAAAAAAGTAAAAAAAAGCAGTAAGATACTTTCCAAAGGAGTACGTCTGGCATCTTTATCGTACGCATAGATTAAGAGGCTCCAATGAGCAGATCCTCCGGTTGGGATATTTTCACATCTTGCTCGGGAGTCGGGACGTAAGTCTATCGGCGAAGAACAACCACTAGCAGATAGTGTTTCAGATTACCCCCTTGCCCAACTGCATTAATGCATTGGGTATAACGCCACATTTTTCTTGCGGCAACGCATAACTTGAACGCTTGTAAACACCAACCTCCAACCGGTTGTCGCCGGTTGCATGAGCGTAGCTGCCAAATCGTAATCGAAAAATTCGTTGCCCGCACCGCCACCGCCAACTCGGTTGGCCAATGCATTAGCAATGTAGTCTATTGAACATTAATGATTGTGATTATGTGCATTCAGAGCTTGAAGACTTTCTGCAAGTAAGCGAAACTGATAAGTTGACTTACAGCTTACCGCTGTGCTGTTGGAAACTTTTGCTGCATCTGCTGCTGCTGCAGTGGATGGTGATGATGATGATTTACAACTTTAGTGGCATTGCGTGTTGGTAGTCAAGTTGTTTAGTTTATTGGTTAATTATTTTTCGATTTACATACATATATATGTATGTATGTATGTAGTTCCATGCAAGCATTTGCTTAGTTGTTGTTGCTGTTGCTCGAGGTTGAAAGTGCAGAGAAATCATTTAATAGAAAGTGAATGGAAAATATTGGCCCACAAGCTATAAAAATTTGTATGGAATTAAGGAAAAAATAACGGTTACCAACATGATAAATTATTACTACAGCATTGATGAAACAAAAACACTGCTAATGAGCTAAGATGCTAACTATTTAGTATTTAATTTTAGTAAATGTTTTAAAACTTATAAATATGCGTTATTAAAAATTGTGTTATATTTCACAGGTATTACCGAATGTTCAGCAACAGCCGATAACAATTAAAACGAACGCCACTAAAAATAACCGTTTCAAATCGCTTCTTATTTGCATAGTCGAAGTCAGCGCTCCAACCTGAATGCTAAATGTTAGCTATTGTTGTTAATTACAAAAGGCAAATATCCCATCCATTCACTCGTAAAATTAATTACTCATTCGCAATAGCGATGCGCTGAAGCACCGCGAGACAACTTTTCACTGTCTTTCACTTACATAGCTGCAGCGTGAAGTTTGCCAGCGAGCGGCAAGCGGCAAGCGACAAGCAAATTTTTTTTATTCAGGTTTAGTAAAATCTACAACAACGGCTCCCTCGAACGCCTATGACATAATGCGCGAGGACGACATCGAAATCGCCATTAAAGTGGTGATTGTAGGCAATGGCGGTGTTGGCAAGTCTTCGATGATCCAGCGCTACTGCAAAGGCATCTTCACCAAGGATTACAAAAAGACGATTGGCGTCGATTTTCTGGAGCGACAAATCGAAATCGACGGCGAGGATGTGCGCATCATGTTGTGGGACACTGCCGGCCAGGAAGAGTTTGACGCCATAACCAAAGCCTATTATCGCGGCGCGCAGGCGTGTGTACTAACCTTTAGCACAACAGATCGCGCCTCTTTCGAGGCGATTCGAGACTGGAAGCGCAAAGTGGAAAACGAATGCAATGAGATACCAACGGTAATCGTACAGAATAAAATCGATCTTATCGAACAATCGGTAGTGAGCGCAGACGAGGTGGAAACACTGGCGCGTCAATTGAATTGTCGACTCATACGCACCTCCGTTAAGGAAGATGTGAATGTGGCTTCCGTTTTCCGGTACTTGGCCACAAAATGTCATCAGCTGATGCTAAATGAAAGCAGCGAACAGGCGAATGCGCATGCAGGTGGAAATGGTGGTGGTGGTGGTGGTTTTGGTGGCGGCGGCTTGAATGGCGGTTCCAGCGGTCATCAGCCTACAATCAGTGCCTTTAGTCCGACTTTCACGAAAAACAATAGTGGCACAATTGTGTTGCGCGCGGCTAAAAAGAGCTCTGCGGCGGCGCGAAAACGCAAAATTGTGCTGAAGAAGTGCGGCATATTGTGATTTGCGTGACAACAGCCGGGGCACTGGGCGATTGGAGGGAAGATGAGAGGATTACATGTGGATGATGAGCTGTGGTGCGCACGAACACGAAGAGCTATGGAGTCGGTGAAGACGAAGAGGGGGATAAAATATCAGAATCAGTTACTTGGATGTTTGTTGGTTGGTTGGTGGGCAAGCCAATAAAACTGTGCATGTGAGTTTACATGGAGGCGCATGATTTATTTAAAATATGTACCCGTATTTAGGTATACAAACGTAGCATATGTATGCAGACTCGTGAATCATAGCAAAAGCGTGCAAGCAGCTGCTAAAGATGTTGATTCCACATCGTTCTTTTTTCCTTTTGCGAATATTAATAATGTATGCATTGAGTAATTGGAGCATATTTAACTGTAAAACATATTAGACTAATTAAAAATGAATACAAAATGAAGTTCGACTGAAGAGCGAGTGCGCGCAAGCGCCCGCACGTCCAAGCAAATGACCAACTTTAGTGAAATGAAACAGAGAAAAAAAGGAAATATTAATAAATAAAAAATAAGCAATCAACAAAGTGCAGCTCAGTGTGTCCACATGTATGGGGGCTGATGTTTTAGCAGGCAGCAAAAAATCGCAAAAGCTGATCCGCATGCGCAGCTCTCATTTACTCTTAAAAATAATTGACTTGACTTGAAATTGCATAAAATTTTTGGCAGCAGCCAGTCTTGCTAGTCCCCTTTAGAATATGTACATATATCATCATCATATCTTCAACAAGAAAAACCAACATGCGGAAATGAATGGCGAACCTGTCGGCGGTCGTTGCTGCAAGCTGGTGGTCTCAACTATGGAAATTCGCGTGTGGTAGGCAAATAAGTTTTCATGAAATTTTTGCATAACCATGAGATACCCCTTGATGAAATTTGTATATAATTATTTAAAAGAAAAAATTGTAATTTAATTGCTATTTGCGCAAAAATCATTTGTTGTCCAATCAACTCAGTTGCTTCATTTAGTTTTTATTTTTTATTTCTCTTTTCAGATGCAGTCGTCGCTCCCACGGCTGCGCGGTTATTGAACCCCCGACAAGCAAGTCATATGCTAAACACTTTTTTTGACTACTAGACTGATACACTTACGTTCATACATATATACATACATACGGCATGCATAAATATGTGAAAAATTACACCTGGAAAATAACTAACTAAAAACTAAAAAAAAAAAAATAACTTTTAACTAATTATTAAAAATATGTATGAGTAGTTAGTACACGATGATGAAATTATTAATTATGTAGTTGTAATTATGTATTCACTTTGAAAGTAACTTAATGTAGGGACGATATTTTGTGTATGTATGAGTCAAGAGTTATTACTAAAAAATGTATCGCCGATGGCTTTGTAAAACCGCCCATCGACCAGTTGCAAAACCGCCTGATATCCATACACCTATGTATATAAAAGCATCAGCATTGTCTAGATGTCAAAAATTGCTCATGCCTATACAATTTGTATGAAGCATACCAAAATAACGTAGGATATGACGAAACTGTCTTTTTCGTATTCCACTGTTGCTGTTTCTACATTTCACGTAGAGTTGCCGCTTTTGTTTAGGTTTAACACTTCGGCGTTAACACTAGGCGTCAGAAAACGCTACGCACAACGCTTTTATTTCGCTATGGATGTAAATCGCAAAAATGAGATTTGGTAAACCTGAACTCCACGCACCGAACTTTATGCCTTAAAATCGTAAAAACGTTATTCAAAAAGTTGGTAAAATGAAATACCCCCGCCCCGTTTGAGTGCCGTAAGATAGGCGCTTTTGCCACTGGCTGATGCATCGCGATGGGCGGTTTTGCAAAGATATCGGCGATATTTTTAAATATACTTTAAAATGTATGTTACTATGTACCTATGTATGTAGTGTAGTTATATCAAAAAGTGAAGTTTTTTTATTATCTAAAAGATATTGTGAAGTAGTATATGATTTAATTGTATTACTTTACATTGTATTACTTACATATATATGCAACTATTTTATTGCTAGTGTATAAAATAAACTCGATTTGTATGCTGACTTTAACTCATTCTATTTATTGCTTTTCGTTAAAAATTAATAATTAAATTGTTAAAAGTTTTTACAAATAACAGTTCTAACTAGGTTTAGGGAAATTGCTGTTACAGCCTAACCTAATATAAACGCACGCCGTATAAGTTTTTTTTCTGCGTCCCCCGAAATTGGCCTGCGTGCATTTGCATATGATTTCACTGAGCGAAACGTCAAATCAAAATCTCACGCAAAACAAAATTTGGAATAGAAAAATCGATTCGCAACAAACCTCAAATATCGCGAAAAATCGTGTTTGTACACTTTGAGGTTAGGATATCTCAAAATTCTGACGTGGTAGAGAAATTCTGCAGCCACATTTGGATTCGGCACCAAAAAATCAGGTGGCAAAAAAAGAAAAAAATTTTCAAACTGTGTAATCAATCAGTAATCAAGAAAATAAAAAAATAAATACTTAACTGCGTGCTAGCATTTTCAACGCGAATACAATTTAACAAGAACGCAAGAGAGTGGGTTTGCAACTTCAGTATTTTATTCATCATGGTTGCATTTTAGTGAATTTAAATTTGTAGATTCTTGTAAATTCAGTACTGCCACAGCTTTAAATATTCCATGTTTGACCTATCTTTGAGAAATTTGAGTTCAGAAAAAAGCACTTAAAAGGGCGCTAGGCACTAAACCATTTTTATGGCGTTATAATTTTCAAAAAGCACTAAATCTCTAGTGCTTAAAGCACCAAGTTGGCAACTATGTGTAGATACAGTATCGGTCATATCTATAGCACGCCATTTCAAAGTGATATTGTGTGCCACTTATGTTTATTTATTTATTTTTAAGAATTTTCAATTAAAATCTAGCTCATTCTCAGACAAACCCCATATATACCCAAGTTTAACAACTTGTAGAAAACTTCAAAAACGTGCAACAAAATTTCAAACTTTTTTCTCGGAAGTGTTAGAATTTTTTTGAGTACACAGTTTTTTAGCCCCTGCAATTTTAGTCTGATAATGTGCAAATTTCAAGTTGCTACGAATTACCGTTAATTTTTTAGAATTTTTTTGTCGCATTGGCTTCCATATAATGAATAAACTCAATTTATTTGTATATGGAAGAAAACCGCAACACCTTTGGCGAAAAAAATTCTAAAAAATCAACGGTAACCTTTAGCCACTTGAAACTTGCACATTATCAGACTAAAATTGATTGGGCTATAAAACTGTGTATTCAGAAAAATTCTCACGCTTCCAAGAAAAAAGTTTGAAATTTATATGAAAATTTGTTGCACTTTTTTGTAATATTCTACAAATTGTTAAACTTGGGTTTGTATGGGTTTTGTTAGAGAAAGAACTATATTTTAATTGAAAATTCTTAAAAATAAATAAATAAACATAAGTGGCACACAATATCTCTTTGAAAACGCGTGCTATAGATATGACCGATACTGTATGTACATATATGGATATTCAGGAGCATGATGCAATAATGAAAGGTGTTATACGTTGGCAACTTCTCGCTCTAATCCGCCATCTTGAACTACCTTAGGAGAAACTGTGTTGTTTCTTTGCTATTTTCACTGAACATTTCCCAAAATATTAGAAAAAAATTCTGAACAAGCTACATTGATTCAATTTTCGTTGTTCGTTTTGTTCTTATTCGCTGACATTTGTTTTCTAATTGCTTGAAATTTGGTAAGTATTGTAATAAAACCGAATTATTTTACAAATTAATTATAATTTTGCATTTATTAGGTAATTTCCTTAGTGTTTTCCTGGCCGACCTGCGCTGGTATTGTAATTAAGAGCTAATACACGTAAGTTACAACATATTATTTTGACTTCATTGATGAACCATTCCATTTGCAGCATTCTCTGGTGAACTGCAGCTGCGGCCGAATTTGATTGTGTGCATCATCCTGCAGATATTTTGAAGTAAGTTGGAACCAGCTCTTTGTTATTTCAAAACCTAATGAACCATTTATTCGCAGATTTTGTGGACGCTTCTGCTGTGCTGCGTTCCTGCTCCGCCCGTGTTTTATAGTGTTGCGTCCCTGTTGCGCCTTTGCAATAGTGTGTGCGTTGTGCTTTGGACACGTTGAAGTAAGTTGAAACCAGGTGTTTGTTTGTTAAAAACCTAAAAAGCCATTCATTTGCAGATTGTTTATATGCTTCTGCTGTGCTGCGTTCCTGCTTCACCCGTGTATTAAATTGCAGCGTTCCTGTTAACATAAGCATCGTCGTTTAAGTACAAAACCGCGTAACTGACATTTGATGCTAAAAATTGGATTTGCTCACACAAGTTCTTGGCTCAATCCTTATCCATTCTTCCTGATACATACTAGCCAAAAATGCGATTGCTTTTTAAAAAAAGATAACCATTTTGAAATATGAGTGTTTTCACTCTCTAGAAAATAATGTATGCAACCTCGCTGGGTTTGCATTATCTTGATACGCGGTTTGGCATTTTACTGATACACGGTTTTGTACTTTAAACGACGATATGTAGATGTATGTACATATATATCACATATATTTACTTAGATATGCATAGACAATTAATGTGTACATTATTTTTTTTATGTTGAAACTAGATATGTATATAGTATGTAATTATTATTATTCGGTTCAAAAAAGTCCTATCTCAAATGAAAATACTTTGAAAATGTGCTCAGATAGGGCGTTTTTGGATCGCTAGCTGAGATAGGGTGTTTTTGAACCGAGTTCTGAGATAGGGCATTTTTCAATAAAATTCTAAAATAGGGCGTTTTCCAGCCAAATTTTGAATTAGGGCGTTGAAAAGTTTTCTGATATCGAGTGTTTTCGACCTGGCTGCCGAGATAGGTCGATATTCCACTCAGCCATGGATAAATAGTCGCATTTTTCGGTATATGGAAGACGATTAAACACGATTTGTTATTATATCGATTCTAAAAAATCAAAGGTAATTTTTAGCCACTTCAAACTTGCATATAATAAGACTAAAATTGAAGGGGCTATAAAACTGAGTGCTCAAAAAAATTCTAAGACTTCTGAGAAAAAAATGTGAATTTTGGGTGAAAATTTGTTGTATTTTTTGTAGTTTTCTACGAAGTTTTAAAATTGGGTTTTTATGGGTTTTGTTAGAAATTGAACTTTATTTTTATTGTAAATTCTTAGAAATAAATTAACATGAGAGGGAAATAATATCACTTTGAAATAGGGTTGCTATTGATATGACCGATACTGTGTGT